CATCATTAAAAAGAAAAGAACATTTCATGATCTATCCTGCAGTACAACACTGTCGGTGCTTGGGTAATATACATCAGTCTATAGGGAAGACCAGTTAATAAGACTCCTATTCAAAATTAAGCATCAATCACGAAAGCCAAAAATTATGAACTTGAAGACTGCAGTCTGAAATTGATCAAACATGGGATTAAGATCCACTGATAATTAGTGGCTGTTGTGATGCAAAAGTTGAAACAAAGAGGAAGGATCATTAGTTAGAAAGTATGATCTTAGTGATAGAAACAAAGCTGGAGATTACATGAGAGATTTTTTGCAAGACCAATGACTTATTCATTAAAAATGCCACTGCTCAACAACGTAAATATGGGCACGAACTTCACAAGATGAAATGCCAAGAATCAAATATACAACATCTGGGGAAAAGTAGTAAGTCAGCTCAGGACCACAAGCCAGGACAAACCAAAAACCAAACTCACCACCACTGAGTTAATGCTGACTCATAGCAACCACTGTGGGTTTCAGAGCCTGTAACTGTTTATGAGAGTAAAACGGCCAGTCTTCTCCAGAGGAGCTGCTGCTGGTAGTTTCAAACTGCTGACCATTCAGATTGTAGCCCAATGCATAACCAGGGCTCTTGCCAGAACAACGGCAAGGACAAACTGTGTGAACTATCGTCAAATCCTCACATGCACATCAAGCTCAAGTTAAAGAAAATAGAGACAAGTTCATGATAGACAAAATAGGACCTAGAGTATAGTCCACCAGAACTTGCACACCATTTGAAAAACACACTCGATGTATTGAACATCAAAGACCAGACAAGTTGAGAGATGATATCCAAAACATCATACATGAAAAAAGCAAAGTCATTCAAGCCAAAATTGATTTTCTGAGAGGCTTTCAAGCTTGCTCTCAAATGTAGAGAAGCTAAAGCAATTGTGAAAAATAATGAAATACAAGAACTGAAGATTTCAAAGGGCAGCTTGAGAAGCAAACTAAAATATGAATTGTGCAAAGACCTGGCATAGAAAACCACGATAGGAAAATATATTCACCATTCCTCAAACTGAAGGAAAAAATTCAAGTCTGGTTGTTATATTGAAAGATTCTGTGGGCAAAATATAAAACCATGCAGGAAGCATTAAAAAAAAAAATAAAGAAATACAAAGAGTCTTTGTACTCAAAAGAATTGGTCAACATGCAACCATTTCAAAAAGGGACACATGGACTCTGCTACCTCTGGGCTGTGATCTCCCACTTTCCTGCTGCACCTACTTGTTTCATTAGCCGGCAGCTGCGTGAGTCTAAGAGTCTCCAGCTAGTATCTGACCCATGACTTGAACTGGACTAAACTGGACCATTTTCTTGATATAAAGTTTTTTCTTACACGTATATGAGTGTGACTGGTTTTGTTTCTCTAGAAAACTGAGCCTACTACACCATGGTATTCTCAGTTGCCTCATAAACATGAGAAAGCTGAAAAAATGAATAAGGAAGACCAAAGGAGGAGAGATTTGAATCACGGCGTTTGTGAAGAATAAATATATCACAGGTCCCCAAACTTTTCAGAAAAGATTACTCAGCACCTCCTTGGCAGTTAAAAACTGGTTTACTATAGCCCAGGATGATGTGTAAGTATCTGCTTTTGCAGCCCGTCCAGATTGTTCCAGCACCCCCAGAAGTAATACCACACACTCTGGTCAAACACTGGACTACACCGTGCATTACTAGAAAATTGCACAAATCTATCTTAGAAGTACAACTAGAATGTTCCTTAGAAGTGAGGATGGTGAGACCGTGTCACAGGCTTTGGGAAGGTTATCAGAAGTAAACGGTCAGCAAAAAAGAAGCCCACCCACGAGATGGCTGCAACAATGAGCTCACGCAGAAGTGACTGTGAGGAAGCCACAAACTGGGCTGCATTTTGCTTTGTACATGGATTGCTACCGGTTGGAATTAATTTAAGGGTCCTTAGCAATGGTGATGGTGCTGTAACCTAAAATGACTCTGTGTGACAATGCAAATGAGGTTCTTGTGGGCCACCAAGGGAATTGGTGGTTTTGTTAACATAAATAAAGTGCATGGACCTCTTTTGGGATTGGTCAGTTCTGCCATCTCACTAGGTTTAAAAGAAGCCAATCCCAGAGGTTGTGTGTGTGTCTAACCACACTAGCATCAAGAAGTGATGAAAAGGGAGTGTCCTTGAAACCTGACCTCCCTCTGATGGGAACCACCTATACTCAGGAGGCAGAACTGCAACACTGATGAAGGTGCTAGATACTGAGAAGTGAAGGAGGACATCAGAATCTGTGGCAGACAAATGGAAGTAGCAGAATCAGGAGATCAATGTGTGACGGTGCAGTGGGCTTTCTGAGTAAAGTGGCTTCAGTGGGCTTGCTGACCCACATAGAAGACAGTCGAGTAGTGCAGGCACTGGGTAGTGCAGGCACTGGGTTTGTATGGGCATTTACTGGTGGAGCTAAAAAACTTTGTAACATTGCCTGAGCAGAACTGAGGTCACCCTGAGAACTAGGGCTGATGGCATGGACAAGAAGCTGTCCTTATTGAAGAACTATATCCTGAATTATTTCTGTAACTTCTACGTTGATCTTGATCCTGAATTATAACCTGTTTATTTCCTAATTAAATAATTGTGTATGGTCTATGAGTTCAGTGTGGCCTTTGAAACTAATTATCACACTCAACAGAAAAGTAGAAAGTTCCAAGGGAAGGATGGCAAGTGTCTGAATTGGTAAAAAGATTGGAGAGTGGAGGTACATCTGACCTTCACCTCCCAGGGATCAGCTCAGGGCTGATGTTGATCTCCATTTTCTTCCCTACACATGAAATTAAAGGAGGTATGACACCATATCGTTTTTATATTCATTTTTTACCCAAGGAAACAAGGTCAGAGAGGTTAAAACAAGTGTATTCTACTACTCCTAGCTAGTATTGGAGTCTCGATTCAAAGCTGGCAGTATGGACTCAGAGTCTGTGCTGTTAACCATGATGCTACAAGGCCACTCCGTTAACACCTCCACCAATGACAGATGCTGAGACTAACCAGGGAGGCACCTATAACAGTTAAGACCTTACTTAGACACGCCTGTCTGGTCCAAAACCACCTTGCCTCCCCGACAGGAGGGGTAGACTTTGACGAAGAATTCGTACAGCATGCCATCGTCCACATCTGGGGTCAGGTCCCCCACAAAGAGAGAGTATTCAGGGCTGAAAGGAAAGAACAATAAGATTAAGAGACAAAAAGACCCAATCCTCTGTTCTAAAGGGCTCTTTCAGTCCATCCCAAGGAAACTTCTCCTGAGCTTTCTTAGAGAATAACCCACATGAAGGATTCTTTATCCAGATCCTAATTCATATCTTTACAATGTTTCTGGCAGAAGAGCTATGAAGTAATCGCTGGCCCCAAACCCTGCACTCCGCATCAAGCTGGTTTAGCTTCATCTGAGTGCAGATGGGTGGAGGATTCTGATAATAAAGATGAGGGTAGGGGGGGTCTTACATGCACCTCTGAGGAAAATGATATTCATTATTTTTTAACTCAAATCCTGAAAGACAGAAAAGGAGTATTGGGGTCTATATCTTAAAGATCTAAAACCTAGCTAAAACAACCCCCCCCCCCGCCCATTTTTAGAACAGGGGTTATCAAACTTTTTCTGCACAGGAAAATAGTAAATATGTAGGTTTTATGGGGTACGTATGGTCTCTGTCACATCTTCTTTGTGTTTGTTTTTACAGCCTTTAGAAATGTAAAAACTACTCTTGTGGGTGATATAAATCAGTCTGGCATTTTTCTTCAAAAGCCAAACTAATTTTGTTACTATTTTCTTATTTCATGAATAATACATATTTTAAAAAATAGAAGAATATAGAAAAGTCTATGCACATGGGCATGAGGGTGTATGCATTCATGCCCCAACCCCACGTGCATATACACCCTTCTCTCTCACCAAATCCTGACCACCCAAACGTAATCAGTACCAACACTGGACCACATGCTATGGTTTCTATTCTATGGTGCTTCTTTGGAATTTGGAAAATTGGATGATTCCTCACATTTTGCTTTTAGTAATTCTTCACTTTTAGCATAGTGTGACTATCTTGACAAGTCAGTATTCTACTCCAGCAGAACTTGTCCGTGGACGTGCAACATCTTGTTTCATGAACACTGTTATTTCTTTAACAGTCCATGTAATTATTTTGGATTTCCCTCCATGTTGCCTATGATAAAACCGTGTCTTAAAACAAAACAAACAAAAAAAAACCCCACTGTGTCTTAATGAACAGGTTTGAGGTTAATTTTTACACCCCAGCATGAATAAATCTTAAGGAGCTGAATTACAGTGTCAACCAGTACAAAGCTTTTAATATCAAGAGGCAAACAGCTGCCTGCAATGCTGAATTAATTAATATTGTTAGAACAGACCCACTCTCTTGGAGAAAACCGCTACACTGAGTTAGGGACAAAAAAAAAAAGATGGCCTTGGAAACAAGCCAGGAACACCCACCAACAGGGGAGGAAGGAGGCATAGGAGAGTCAAACTTAGGTCGATACCCTCTTCTTCCCTAGAGAGAGGCACAGTGTGTAGTCCTTTCCTGAGACTTAAGGCCATTCTGGGCTATTTTGCACTCACCTATTATCTGGTTGTTTCCCATAAGTGGCATAGTTCAGTTTAAAACGTTTTGCCTAGAAATTTAAAAACAAACAAACTAAAACAGCGCAAAGCGTTTCAAGAATCAAACAATATTTTATTAAAAACTTAAATAAATTACCTTGGCCAAAACATCTCCCCCTTTCTAAGCCTCAGCTTTCTCTCCTGTTTAATATGAGGGGCTTGCCCGGATGGCCGCTAAGGGCCCTGGCAGCTCCATGACTCTAGGAGCCGGTGTACCAGCCTGGTGCAGCCGTGAGCTCAGTAACTGTGGGAAGAGCAGAATGTAACTGGCTTTAAATGTGTCCTCACTGCTGCCAGCCTATTCTAGTTTCTCAAATGGGCAAGAGAGAGATCGAGGTTTTCAGGTCTTTCATTAAGGGAAGCAGGCAGTGGTGCAGAGTGGAAAGGGCATGGACACTGGAGACAAACATTTTACATTTTGGTTTCACTTTAAATTCTGGGCTCTGCCCCTTACTACCTGTGTGGCCTTGGGCAAGTGATTTCACTTCAGTTTCCTGGTCTGTCAAATAAAGACAACCATGCCCACTGCACAGGACTGCTACAAGGGCACATGAAATGATGTGAGCGTGCAGGAGGTATTCAGTAGATAGCAGGTACTAATGACAGTAAAAATGGCACATCATCGTTATCTACACGTCCTTACAGGTGTGGCTCCGGGAAGGGGTTTCCCATTAATTTTATGCAAACACTTCTCGGCTGTCGCCAGATCTGCAAATTCCACAAAGCAATAGCCAGCTGGGATCCTAGAAAGAGCAAACAAAGAAGAAGAATGGTTAATGAGAATCAGCTGCTGGACTGAGTCTGGGACGGAAGGAGGGAAAAATGTTTTTTTATCTGAGTCTACACTGCTTTTGTTCCTTGCCAAATTCTAGGTCCGGGGTAACTTATAAACCAGAGTATAAGAACGTTGATCCGGGCCAGTCTCAGGCCCACTCCGCAACCATTTACTTATGTACTCCATCACTATCGACATATTCTTGGCAGCAAAGAGTCTTTTACCTTCACTTGCAGCTTACAGGGAATAATACTGGGGCTGGACAAGTTGAACATTCCCGTGTGTAAACAAATCCAGAATGCAGAACTTAGGTAAGACAGCCAGCCTCCTTGCCTTTCATAAAGTCATTGCTATGTGAAAGAAAAGGTGGGCCTTTTAAGAAACTTAAAGTGCAAAAGAACTAGATGTAATACAGGAACCCTCATTCAATACCAAAACCCAAAACAAAAAGGTACTCTGAGGACAATTATGAAAAATTTAAATGTAGACTGGCTACATATTATAAGGTATTAGGAGATTATTGTTAATTTTGTTAAGTGTGAAATAAGCATTCGGTTACATGGCTATGTAAAAGAATGTCTGAGACATTGGTAATAAACACTAAAATATTTAGCAGTGAAGTATCCTACTGCCTGTAATTGACTTTGATAAGGTTCCACTGAAAGGAATGTTTATCTGTATATGTAAATATGCCTATACATAAAGGTAAGAAAAAATATGGCAAAATGCTAAGTTATTTATTTAACTTACCTTTATATATGAGGGGGTACACACACAAACCCCTCAGAATTGTGCTGGGTGGAGTGGACCTTTCCTAGTACAAGTTTTGCCCCACTGGAAGGTTCTCTCTGTTCACAGTGAATTTTACTGTGAAAGTAGTTTCGCCTGAACCTGGTTTTTTGTGATGGCTGGGTTCAGAGAACAGTGTGTGGCTGTAAAATTTTGTTTCCTGCTCAGGAAAAATGCTGCATAAACTGTTGTGATGTTGAACACTGTTTACAAGGAAAATGCTATAGGAAAAACTCAAGTGTACGAGAAATTTTCTCATTTTATAAATGGTGAAATGTCTACTGATGACAAACCTCTATCTGAAAGTCTGTCAACTTCCCCAAAGGATGAACGTGTCGACTCAACTTGTAGTGCATGTGGAGCTCATTCCATCAGGTCAAACTGTTAGTCAAACTTTCTATTTAGAGGTTCTGAAAAGATTGCTTAACAGTGTGTGGCAAAAAAGGCCTGATTTGAGGCAGATGGGGGACTGGTTTTACCACCACGACAATGCACCTGCTCACATAGCCATCTCAGTCCACCAGTTTTTGGCAAAAAGCAGCATGCCTCTCTTGCCCCACACACCTCACTTGACCTTACTCTGTGCCATTTCCTTTTGTTTCCACAAATGAAGAGGGACAGGAAAGGACAGAGATTTGACAATTTAGAAGCTGTGAAGAAAAAAATGAGGAGGTGTTGTCAGCCCTCCAAACAGATGAGTTTGAAAAATGTTTCCAAAAGTGTAACTGTGGATAAACAATCCGGAGGAGAAAACAGGACCGACGGTTCCAGAGGGACAAGGGAAAGGGGGAGGTGCGGGTGGGGGGGTGGAAGGAAGTGGGTGTTAACAAACCCAGGGACAAGGGAACAATAAGTGATATAAAATCGATGGTGAGGAGGGCATAGCATGCCTGGTAGAGCTTAATCAAGGGCAATGTAGCCAAGAGGAATTACTGAAACCTGAATGAAGGTCAAACATGATAATGGGACAAGAGGAAAGAACTAAGAGCCAAAGAACATTTATACAAGTCTAAATACAGGCATGTATATATGTAAATATATTTATATATAACGATAGGGAAAGATCTATGTGCATACATTTATATGCTAAGTATTAAGGTAGCAGACGAACATTGGGCCTCTACTCAAGTACTCCCTCAACGCAAGAAGACTTTATTCTAATAACCCGGCATTCTGTGATGCTGACCTTCCCAACAAGATTGAAGACAAATGTGACGAAGATAGCTGATGATGCCCAGCTATCAAAAGATAATAGCGTCTAGGGTCTTAAAGGACTGAAGGTAAACAAGCGGCCATCTAGCTGAGAAACAACAAAGCCCACATGGAAGAACACCAGCCTGTGCAATCACGGTGTTGAAGGGATCAGGTATCAGGCATCAAAGAACAAAAAAATCTTATCATTGTGAATGCATGGGAGTGCAGAGTAGAGACCCAAAGCCCATCTTTAGGCAATTGGACATCCCCTTACGGAAGGGTCTCGGGGAGGAGACGAGCCAGTCAGGGTGCAGTGGAGTAAACGATGAAACTTATAACTTTCTTCTAGTTCCTAAATGCTCCTTCCCCACCACTATCATGATCCCAATTCTGCCTTGTGGGTCTGGCTAGACCAGAGGATGTACAGTGGTACAGGTAGGAACTGGAAACACAGGGAATCTAGGGCAGATGACCCCGTCAGGACCAGTGGTGAGAGTGGCGATGCCAGGAGGGTGGAGGGAGGGTGGGGTGGAAAGGGGGAACCGATTATAAGGATCTACATATAACCTCCTCCCTGGAGAACAAACAACAGAGGAGTGGGTGAAAGGAGATGTTGGACAGTGCAAGATGTGACAAAATAATGATTTATAAATTATCAAGGGTTCATGAGGGAGGGGGGAGCAGGGAGGGAGGGGAAAAATGAGGAGCCGATGCCAGGGGCTTAAGCGGAGAGCGCGTGTTTTGAGAATGATGAGGGCAATGAATGTACAAGTGTGCTTTACACAATTGATGTATGTATGGACTGTGATAAGAGTTGTTAGAGCCCCTAATAAAATGATTTTTAAAAATCCTATCAATGTGAATGAGGGGGAGTGCGGATGGAGACCCAAAGTCCATTTGTAGACAACTGGACATCTCCTTACAGAAGGGTCACAAGGAAGAGATGAGCCAGTCAGGGTGCAGTGTAGCACCGATGAAACATACAACTTTCCTCTAATTCTTTAATTCTCTCTCTCCGCCCCCCCCCCTTTCCACTGTCATGACTTCAATTCTACCTTACATATCTGGATAGACCAGAACATGTACACTGGTACAGGTAAGAGGTCCCAACACAGGGAATCCAGGACAGATAAAGCCCTCATGACCAATAATGAGAGCAGCCATCCAGGAGGGGAAGGGAAAGGTGGAGGCAGAAAGGGGGAACCGATGCCAATGATCTACATATAACCCCCTCCCAGGGGAACGGACAACAGAAAAATGGGTGAAGGGAGACAGCGGTCGGTTTAAGACATGAAAAAAAAAAATTAAATTATTGGGGATTCATGACGAAGTGCAGGTGGGGGAGGGGGGAAATGAGGAGCTGATATCAAGGGCTTAAGTAGAAAGAAAATGTTTTGAAAATGATGATGGCAACCTACGTATAAATGTGCTTGATACAATGCAATGGATGGATGTATGGATTGTGATATGAGCTAAGAACCCCCAATAAAATGACTTAAAAAGAAGAATGAAATTGCAGATTTGACTAATGTATTAAGTGCAATGGAGTACTTTGAAGGTGATAGGTTGTTTTATTAAAAAAATTTAAATACATAGCTTTGAGAAAAAATTCTGAGAAAAATAAAAGAGAAAAAATTCCGGGTTTTTTTTGGTAGCCCCCTGGTATGTTCACAATATTGTTCAGTTTACAGAAAATATTAAAGATGGAAGAAAAAAACCTCATTTTGAAGAATCAAATCCAGAATGTATGACTTATATATGACATTTTATTTAAAAAATTATCTTGATTGAAAAACATTTTTTGAGCCTCCACATGTTAGGCTGACACAAATTTGAAGAACAATGACCATCCTTAAGGAACTAATAATTTCATTAAACTGCTGGATAAAGTGAACTCATGGGTCCTACTTCATTGGTGGTCTGTGATATCCCCAGCATTCTTTTTATTTTACTTGTTTGATCTTGTTGTTAACATACACAGCAAAACATACATCAATGGTTTCTACATGCGCATTCAGTGATTGTTCTTCACTTTTGCAACCCTCCTTTTGAGCTGTTCTATTCTACCACTATGAACTCACTACCCCGAAAGGCCCCCACCTAATCCTTCTAGTTCCTGTTGTATCTCCTAAGAGCATAATGCTGAAGGCAGACATCAGTATTAACGATAAACTATTGTTTGCTTTTAAGAAGATTACAGGGATAGTTCTAGTTTACAATTTAAAGGTCATCTCAGGGCAATAGTTTAAGGGTTTCATAATCCATACGTTCTGGATTCCATACAAATTTGAAAATCCATTTTGTATTTCCCCCCTTTTGGTCAAAGTTCATTTATAGACTCTATGAGCATAAGTTTCAGTAATGGTTGCCAGTAGTTCCTGGAGGCAATTAGCCACACATCCACTTCCTTCTCCTCTGCCTGACTCTCCTTCCCACGTTAGCTGAGGAGGGATCAAATGTTATGCCTTGGACAACCACTTGCAAACATTTAGGACCCCAGCTGGTATATGCCAAAGGTTGAATCTGAATCTAGGAGAGTCTGATTACATTCTTCCTCTCCCTGCTGGATTCTATTATGAAAAAATTCCAAACTTAAAGAAATCAAGAAAGAATGGTATAGCAAATTGTACAGACTACAATTAAAATACTATTATACTTACTCACTGAGCATTTCTTTTGGGGGGATACTTTTCAAAGTAAGTGGCAATATCAGTACACTTCCCAGAATTACTTTGGCATTCATTCAATATTTGTTTACAATGAGAAAAAACTTTTGCCTTGAGGTAAAAATTCAGTGTAATAAAATGCACAAATCTTATGTGTACCATGCAGAATGTTCCAACAGACTTGTGCAACCTGAACCCCTATCAAGACACAGAATGTGACCACTGCCCTAAAAGTCCCCTTGTGCTACTTCCCTGCAAACATCTTTCTAGAGCTAACTACTGTTCTCAGTTATTTCAACAGATTAGTTTTATCTAATCTCTTGGTAGATGCCAGCCAGCCAGTTCTGACCGAGACCCTATGCACAACAGAATGTAACACTGCACAGTCCTGTGCCATCCCTTACAATTATTCCTATGCCCGAGCCCAATGTTGCGGCCACGCTATCAATCCATCTCCTTGAGGATCTTCCTTTTTTACGTTGCCCCTCTATTCAAGTTTCAAATAAATGGAACCATTCAGTAAGGCTTCTTTCACTCAGTCTAACTTATATGAGATTCATCCCCATCGGTGCTATATATACCCCATTGTTGTAGCCTGCTGCTTTTGATAAATGAGTAGTATTCCACTGTGTGAATATACCCCAGGGCTTCCTGGGCTATTCCCAGCTTATGGCTATTAGGTACATGATTTTAAGTCTTTTTGAGACATTCCATATGTCTTCATTGCTCTTGAGGACATACTTAGGACGGAGACAAGCCCTGGTGGCTCAATGGTTAAAGTGCTAGGCTTCCAACTGAAATGTTGGCAGTTTGAGGTCGCTAGCCACTCTGTGGGAGAATGATGGATAAAGCACTGTGCTTCTGCTAAGACTGCAGCCTTGAAAAGCCTGGATGGCCCATCTTTTCCACTCCAGCGAAGCAGAAACCTCTCGATTCTGCCCTATGCGTTTCCCACATCGAGAAGCCGCCCCGCAGCGTAGTTACGATGCCAGGAGCTGTACCTCCCGCGTGGCCACGCCGGCAGAGCCCCTCAAATGAGAGCTGCCCCCAGGCCAGCCCCAGCTGCCCACCCACCAGCTGCAGCCCCACTAACTGAGGTCGGCTCACCCGCTGCTGCGCCCCGACAACCCAGTCTGATGGCCCAGATGGCGACCACAGCAGCGGTGTGGCTGTGGGCTCTGCTGTGGGGCACACGCTGGGCCATGCCATCACCGGAGGCTTCAGTGGGGGAAGCGGCGCTGAGCCCGCCAGCCCTGACATCACTTACCAGGAGCCTCAGGGAGCCCAGCCGGTGTACCAGCAGCAGCAGTTTGTCCTTGCCACTATGAGATGAAGCAGTTTTTGGAATGTGCCCAGAAGCAGGGCGACCTCCAGCTCTGCAAGGGTTTCAGTGAGGTGCTGAAGCAGTGCAAATTTGCAAATGGATTGGCCTAATCAAATTCAGATCGAGGAACTGGGAAATTCATCTCTCATGACCAAGTTAATTTAGCATAAACCGATAACTGATAGTAGCCATGTAAGGTGTTAAACCTCTCCTCCATCATTAATCACTTCCTTGCTTTCAGAATCACCTTGGAAGGCCTTCTTCTGTATTGAGATGATGTCACATGTTTGGGGCTGGGTTTGTGTGGTCCCCTTAAGCTAGTTGTTGTGATATAATTATTTGAATTAACGAAAATAAAGTTATTTTCTTCCAAGAAAAAAAAAAAAAAAAGAAAAGCCTGGATGACAGTTCTACTGTGGCTATGCCTTGGGATGGACTGGACAGCCATGGACTTTGGTTTAGACTTGCTGAGACATGGAGGGTTTAGGTTTGGTTCCAAAGGAAACTGTCAGGCCCTTTTCCTCCAATGGCTATTCTGTTTTGCGCTCCCATCAGCAATAAATGAAGTCCAGCTGTGCTAGTCTGACTGCATTCTTAAGCACTATGCTGCTGGGTCTACACATTATTTTTCCTTGCATCTTATCTTTTCCTCTGTTGTCCATGGTCTTGGTTTCTAATTACATTTATTTCATAGTATTCTTGTGAACTATGTCAGAGCTTTGGTAAAATGAGGCAAAGTGTAATTATGTATGGTAGGTTCCGCCATAAAAACCAGTTAAGAGTGTCATCATCAAGTGCCTGAACATTATAGTTCCACATGTGATTTCAGTATCAATTAAAATGTGAGAGCCTATGCCAGTATCTTAAAATGTACGGTTGACAGATGAATTGTCATGCCAGTAGCTGATTATGTGGGATTTCCTGTCTACAAAAGTAGGAAGAGAAACCTGTAGGCCTGCCTCATGTATCCTACATCAGTAGGAAAATCTGTCCCAGAGTAATGAGGTTTTGAGGCACAAAGTACCTACTTACCAAAGATGATGGTTTAGCAAATGGCATTTAGTACAGTACCTGGCACGGAGTGGATACTGAATAAACAGAAGTTAAATTGGTAACGGAATCTTCTCATTTGTAACCAGAACCATAAAGACAACTTGGATTTCTGAATGATAGAGCACGGGAGGCAACAGAGCCAGGTTTGGGTTAGAGTTCCAGCTTGTCGTTTAATAACTAGGAAACCTTAAGATAGCTATCAATCTCTAGTTACAGTATTATTAAAAGTTAATAATACTTAACACAGATGTTTTTGCTATGACTTTTTAAAAATATAATGAATGCAAAGTCCTTATTACCTATCATGCCGCCATATGTCTATACTTAACTGTGCATAAGCTATATACCAAGAACAATTCTAAAAACTGAAAGTGAATGTAACCGAGAGGAATTACTGAAACCCAAATGAAGGCTAAACATGGCAGTGGAACAAGAGGAAAAGTCAAAGGAAATAGAGGAAAGAGCTAGGAGGCAAAGGGCATTTATAGAGGTCTAAATAAAGGCATATACATATGTAAATATATTTATATATGAGGATGTGGAAATAGATCTATGTGCAAATATGTATAGGTTTAGTATTAAGGTAGCAGATGGACATCGGGCCTCCACTCAAGTACTCCCTCAACGCAGGAATACATCGTTCTATTAAACTGGCATTCCATGATGCTCACCTTCCCAACACAATCGCTGAAGACAAAGGGGGTGCATAAGCAAATGTGGTGAAGAAAGCTGATGGTGTCGGACTAACAAAAGATATAGTGTCTGGGGTCTTAAATGCTTGACAGTAAACAAGCGGCCATTTAGCTCAGAAGCAACAAAGCCCACATGGAAGAAGCATACCAGCCTGAGTGATCACGAGGTGCCGAAGGGATCAGTTATCAGGCATCAAAGAACAAAAAATTCTATCACTGTGTGCTCACCTCCCTGATATGATCACTGAAGACCAATGGATGCATAAGCATATGTGGTGAAGAAAGCTGATGGTGCCCGGCTATCAAAAGATATAGCATCTGGGGTCTTAAAGGCTTGAAGGTAAACCAAATGGGTGCATAAGCAAATGTGGTGAAGAAA